CGCAGATATCATTTTTAGTGAGAAGGGAGAAAAACGCCGTTCATACCCTATTCTGTATTTCGACATCTTTATTGGTATTGAATCGGATCATCGTTTCTTCTGTACTCGTTATATTGTTTGTATGATTGTTGATTGATATTGGGACTAACAGCCGCTTTTATGCAGCACGAACGGGCTCCACAACACCGTCGTGCCTGGCTCTCGGTCGGGCTCGTCTATCCTTGATCTAGGATGGCGACCGACGCTTTTATGCAGCACGAACGGGCTCCACAGCACCGTCGTGCCTGGCTCTCGGTCGGGCTCATCCATCCTTGATCTAGGATGGCGACCGACGCTTTTTGCAGCACGAACGGCTGGCTCATCAACGCCGTCGTGCCTTCTTTTGATCGGGCTCGTCGATCCTCAATCTAGGATGGCGATCGTCACTTCTATGCAGCACAAGCGGCTGGCTCTACAGCGCCGTCATGCCTAGGCTGAGATTGCACCTCACTTATGGATTATGCATGTCTTGCGCCCAAGATTATTCAAAGATTGATTCAGGGATGACAGGAAAGGACGTGAGCAAGAGTATATTTTCTCGAGTAGATTTGCAAGCTCACTACTCAAGAAAGTGGGGGACTTGTGTTGGGGTGTACTACCCCAGCCTACTACTGTTCAGAGGCCCAAGACACCGCCCCGGTACGGAGCCCAATCGGTGAGGCCCATTCAGGCTCGCCCGGCCCATTTAGGTCTGCTTCGGCCCGTTAGTGCCTTTTCGGCCCGTTAGCCCCTTTGGCCCATTGGCAAACCCTCCCATTTCCTATAAATAGGGAGGAAGGCTCCCATTTGAGGGATGGCTTTTCTCTCCTAGAGAGAGTTCTTCTTATCCTCTTTACTGCTTCTTCCTGATTCTTAGCTTAGCAACACAAGCTCCATTAATGGAGGCTTCAACTTTGTATTATGTAAATATGGTGAGGAGAGCATATTAATGAGAAAGAGCGGGCTTGGACGTTAGCCTAAAAAGTCCTGTGGTTTTTTCCCTTTCCGGGTTTCCACGTAAAAATAGCTAGTTTATACACTTTTATATATTTATTCAGGTTTATACCGAATCGGTCGTCCTTAATATCCGAAGTTTATGTTGGGCTTCTGGATCTGCGGGACTAAACCTCAACACGTAGATGATGTCAAAACAACAAAGGTACAGGGTCCGGTCGATATTTAGAAGAACGAACGACTTGTAGAATCCAAGATAATGGGTTGGTAATGTCTATATTTGTTAGACATGGGCAGCAAGCAAACCAAACAGGGGGCCCTATCAACAATTATGTAGGACAGATGAAGCATCGGAAACAAAAAAAACTCGAAAATGACCAAGTCCTGCAGAACTGTCCGAAGCCCGGACGACAATTCAAATTGCAAGGAACACAAGGAAGAGATAAGTCCTAAGGAACTGGCCGAATCCCGAATGACAAGAAAATAAGGGTCGAAAAATGACCAAGTCCTACAGAATTGCCGGAAGCCCGAACGACGATAACAAAGAATGATCAAAAAACTGAGGGTCAGAAAAAACTGCTAAGTCCCATGAAACGGACTGATTACTGACTGGTAAAGCGAAAAATTTATTAAGATAAGAGAGACAATAAATAAAGCATTGAGCAAAAAAGATTTCATATATATTCATCGGCTCTACTGGTCGGGAAACACAAAGATCATTTGCAAAGCAAAAGGAGAATGGGGGAAGGGGAATTACAATTACTAAAATACTTGATTTAATCTACTGACCGATGACCTCATTGTCATCATCATCATCCTCACCCTCGTCCGAGTCAGAAGGGGGTTCAGGATCTTTCCTTGCCGCACGATCGGCTGCACGTTGCTGGTCCCGTTGGTATTTTTCAAACTGGGCCTCAACGATGGGGACTGAGGGAAGATCGGCAAGCTCGACCGGCCTCCCCCAGCATTTCTTGAAGCTTGGCCACGAAGGGGATCAGGATATGCTGGCAGCCCATCACGTAGAGAGATTGAGCCAATGAATCATTGAATTTTTTGCCCCTAGGATCCCGGTCGAGCAGCTTCACCCCTTCTTGACGCCGGACATCACCTCGGGGGAATTGGTCAAGGTAGGCCCCAAAGATTTATGGAAGTTGTTGCTGAGTGTATTCCTCTTTAAGGGCAGTGAATTTATCAGAAGACTTGAACGTCTCCCGGACGGCGGACAAATCCACATTCATCTCAGGAGGACCGTCCGGGATGCGGGGGGCTATTTCTTGGAATTTTATCTGAGCAGCCTCAGCTGCAATAACCTTAGCCTGGAAGCGACCAGCTGAACGCGAAGCCCCCCTCCCCCCACATCATTAAAATTATTTTCTAGATAGTAGTGCGCACCAATTGTTCGTAAAAATTCCGAAATGAATTTTTATTCATTTCTTGAGCAAATTCTAAATAAACCTTGTTATAGTTGAATATAGTATTGACTATGTAGCATTTATTTTGCATAATAGTTCTTTTTAGCATTGATTTAAGTAGCTTTTATGCTTCTTGGGTTAAGGAATTCTTGATTTTGTTTGTTATTTTCTAAGTTTTATTTTTAAACAATTTGCTATTATATTTTGTGTTTGGTTTTTATATAATGGATCCAACTATTAATGATTCTTAGGTGATATTTTGAGCGATTAATGTTATATTTTTCTATCATTACATTTAAAATGAACATTCAACAATTTTACAATGTGCATTGTGTTAAAATCGGTTGAGCTTTATTGTTAAGCTATATATTCTAAGTTATTTGTAATGACTATGTTACATGTGTGAGTTATAGAAATAAAAATGATTTTTATGTTTTACATATATGAACATCACTTTTTAAAAAATGAGCATTGGTATAACATTATAAAATGAATACAAAAAATGGGTTTTATGTTATACCCAAATGAGTATAATATTTACACGAAATGTATATCGATATAACGTTATAAGATAAGCACTATAACGGCTGACTATTCAATTAAGGTGTTTTGATGCTCAAAAGGTTTTGAAATTTTTATGCTCAAATGCAGAGTTTCAATGTTCAATAGAGGAAACTTGACGCTCAATGAAAATGTCTTGATCATATTCCAAAAGTTTAATAGAGGTATTAAATTAGATTCATATATTGGAATCCATAGGAGACTATTACAGATATAATTTAAAAAAATTATATAAAATAAAAAATATGAAAAAGAAAGTGAATAAAAAGTTATGAAGCAGAATTCGCGATGCTCAGTAGTACTCAACATAATAGGCATGATGCTCATTAAACATTCATTGATGCTCATGTAACAGAAACCGTGATTTTCATTTCGATAGAGGAGGTTTGATTCTCAATGAAAATGTTGTTATGTTAAACTAACAAACCTTACAATTCTCATATAATGAATATTTTGTAAGGTAAGTATACTCATTTGGTATTGATGTTATGCTCATTTTAAAATGTCATATGAATGCATATTTCAAAAATATCATATTACATTAAATTTGCATATTGAAATTCATAGGAGTGGATTATAGATATAGTCTAGTAAATTTTTATAAAAGAAAAAAAGAAAGTGAATTAGAAAATATGAAGCAGAGATCGTGATACTCAGTATTAGGCTCATAATACTCAATATAATATGTGAGATGCTCACTAAAAGTACATTAGTACATTAATGCTCATTTAGCGGAAGCCTTGATTTTTCGCTTAAATTACAAAAATGCCACCGAAAAAATCAAGTTGTATTAGTTAATGAGCTTTGTTCATTAGTTGGGTTGGATGTACCTACGCATTGGGGGTGTCCCCAATATGAATTTTAATAGATTTTAAAAGTAAGATTTTGATTAATTTTTATGGAATTGTATAGAATCTGTGAGATTCTAATGAAATCCATGGAATTTGAAATCGAAAGAAGAAAAGGAGCAGATATATGATTCTAATCGAAAAGGTAAAAAATTCTAATGAAAACAGAGGCTGTGACAATAGAGTTGTAACGGTGGTTGAAGAGAGGATTGAACCTCAGGCCACGGAAGAGCTGTAAGGTAGAAATCCATTGAAATCCAATGGGGTTTTGAAGATATTTTGGATGGAATGTTGTATGCATGGAAATCTACAAATGAAATTCATGAAAAGATTGAGGACACTCATACTTTAATAGAATCCATTGAAATGCATATTGAAAACACCATAATTTTGAAATTCTTTTTTTTAAATCTATTAAAATCCATAATTCTGACGCCTATACTACATTTGGGGGCGTAGGCTTCTATCTTCTGTAAGGTTGATTGCAATCCATGGGGTGGAAATTCCAAATTTGAGGTATTCACCCTAAATGTGATCCAAAAAATGTATCGAAAGGTGCTAAAGTGGATTGAGAGCTCTTTTGGAGTGGGGATTTAATACCCTCATCCACTCTGGAGAGAGAAGAATGATCTCTCGCACCATACGCATACAAGAAAATGAGCATGGCCCACAAGTTACTAAATCCCAAATTTTTTAAATATTGTATAACTTTTTTTATCTGAAATTCAAATTTATACAAAAAATATATCAAATTTTATAGTTTTTTATAATCTTTCATATGACACCAATATTGAATATGTAAAAATTACAAATAAAAATATGATATTTTATCTGCCGGAGATTTTTAGGCTCAATTTTTTTGTTAAGTAGATCAAAATGTCCAAATTCAGATCTCATGATTACTTTTTTTTTTGTTACATCTTTCTATTATTTTTTTCAAAAACAAGTTTGAAGTAACAATAAAAAAATTACACCCCAAATTTATTTATTTTTACATCAGAATGTTTGACTTTTTAAATTATAATTATTCGTAAAAAGAAATTTGGCAAAAATAAATGTATAATAAGAAAAAGTAAAGATTTAACTAACAAATTTTATTCAGTGAATATATTGATTATGCTGGATTGCACAGAAAAACTGAATTGATGGAGTGAATACTCGTAAATTGGAGGGATATTTGATTTATCACGGAGAGGGTTGGGGGTTAGCCTAAGAGGAGTAAAATGGGAAAAAAATCTCAATTTCCCTGAACTTGACAGTTTACACGACTGAGAACCATTAATCCGCAGTGGTGTTTCCCATTTTCTCAAGCGGCAGAGACGCGCCCAGAGATGGGAAGCTCGAGAACTATCATCCCCAATCTCAATCTCAATCTCAACACTACCCGCTGCTTTAAATGCCTTAATTTTAGATTCTCAATTCAAAGAACTCGAATACAGCCGCCCCAAACAAAATCCATAATGGCCTTCTCGATCACTAACAGATTCGGCAGAATAGTTTGCTCTGCTGTTGAGGATGCCACGGAGAAACGACAAGCCGCAGGCGGTAGGAGCACCAATGGATTTGGCTCTGATGGTGAAGATGAGCTCTGTAAGTGAATCCAGTACCTAATATTGGGGAAAGTAAGGATGTAGATTATTGTTTTAATGTAACAAATAAACACATTACTATTCAAATATTACGGAGTATAAAATTAATATTGAGATTACCTCAACCAACCCCCTTTAGAGTCCATATAACTGATATAAGTATCATACTCTTTATTCCTTAATATGGATCAGAGTCATCAGACCAATGCTGTGATATTAGCCAATACAATATTTATTAGAGGATTTTCTTTAAATGATACTAAAATATACGGATTAAGTAGTAAATTATTGACAAAAATGTGGTTAAATTTAATATCCATACTGTTATGGTCAATACCTTTTAAAATTAAACATATCCATGGTCTACGTACTGAAGTATTGAAAGAAATTATCTATTGCTTTTATGATTCTTTTTGGGGATAAGAATATGTTTGGAACATTATCTATTTAATGGGACGGAGGGAACATGTCATTATCCTTCTTTTGAGTGTATGTTTTACCCATTTAGCTCAATAGATCAGTTCCTTATGTTTTGCATGGGCATTGTCATCCATGTGAATGTAGATATGTTTATAACATCTGCAACATTTAGAGTTGTATTTGTTCTTTTTCAAACAAAGGTTCTATAAAACACTTATGGCACGAGGTATTGTAAAAGCTATTATTAGAATTGTGGATTTATGTCGAGTAGATTAGATTTCATCCTCAAGGATAACGATTGATTGTGGTTTGGTGTTACTTTTTCTTTTGTAGGTGGTCTATAATCATCTTTATTTATAAATATATTCATATCAAACTTACTATTTGTTATAGTAAATTGATCAGTTCCTCCATATTATTTTGCAGATGCCTCAAAAGAAAATAAACTGACCAATAAAGAATCAGATGACAGGGAAGGAAATACTCTGTATGAGTTTCTTTATCCTAGTAAAGAACTTTTGCCAGATGATAAAGAAATGAATATCTTTGATCATTTAGAGGAGCTGCGCCAAAGAATATTTGTCTCTGTTTTGGCTGTTGGGGCCGCTATGGTCGGATGCTTTGCTATCTCTAAAGAACTCATATTGTTTCTTGAAGCCCCCGTTAGTGAACAAGGTGTTCGGTTTTTACAACTCGGCCCTGGCGAGTTTTTCTTCACTACTCTAAAGGTTAGTTAGTCTGTTGCTCATCTATTTTACTACTCTAAAGGTTAGTTAGTCTGTTGCTCATCTATCTTCTGCTCCTAGCACATTAAGGCTATGAATGGAACTCAGAAAATGGTATGGAAAGAGAAAAAAGTAGCACAGGAAGATGGGTGATTGTACTATTTGGATGAATTCTAGAAAACACAAAGGAAAACCGAATTGTTTTTTCTTTTTCTTTTTACATACATATATAAACTTATATACAACAACAACATCCAAGCCTTCGTCCCAAAAGATTTTGGGTTGGCTAACATGAATCAATACATGCTACATATAATTTTATACATTTATATAAATCATACTTCCTCCGTTCCTATTTTATCTTCCAAATAGGTTTGACACACAATTTAAGATAGTGGGTATTGTATGGTGGAGAGTTGTGCAGAGGAGAGAGAAATGTGTAAGAAATGTTGTGAACCACAAATTCTTTACTAAAAAGAGAAAGTGGAAGTTTTAATTGGAACGGACGAAAAAGGAAAGTTGGAAGTTTTAATAGGAACGGAGGGAGTAAAAAATTATAAGTATATACAAACACATGTGCAAGTTCATATTGAAACCCACCTTTTCATAGGAACCCGCTTATGGTGCAAACTATCATTTCTAGTTGCCAGATTTGATTATTTTAAGTCAACTAATCACTTATGGTGTGTGTTGCTTGGATTATGTATTTTATATTCCCGATTTTTTGGTTTACACTGCCATGGTAAACATTTTTTTAACTTGGTGTCTCTGTATAACCACACTTGGTGCAGGTTTCGGGATATTGTGGCCTTCTCTTAGGTAGCCCTGTGCTTCTGTACGAGATCATTGCCTTTGTTCTTCCAGGTTTAACAAAGGCAGAGAGAAGATTCCTTGGACCCATTGTGCTAGGATCGTCTGTTCTTTTCTATGCCGGAATCGTCTTTTCATATTATGTCCTCACCCCTGCAGCCTTAAATTTCTTCGTTAATTATGCTGAAGGGGCAGTGGAATCGATATGGTCCATTGATCAATACTTTGAGTTTGTGCTTGTTCTCATGTTCAGCACTGGGCTATCTTTCCAGGTAGATCTTTGCCCGGCTTTATTTTTATTAAAAACTGCTTCAAATAGTATTAAAACGTAAACAAAATGCACAAATAGGACTAACTATGTTTTATTCCCAAAATATGACTTATTTGATCTTATTAAAAGTTGAAAACTTACCCACTTGGGACTTGGGAGTAAATGGGTCATATCCTAGGGAAAAATAATGGTAGTCCTATTTATGCATTTGTCTATATTTTAGTCGTATTTAAGGATCTCTATTTAATTACCTCTCTTTTGTAATTTGTAGTACCAACCCAAAAAAATTCCCTAGCTTCCTACTTTCCCATTTTATTGTCCTACTTTTTCCTATTCATTCATACTACCTTTTTAGCTTTGTAAAATGTTTTGAATGTGAGCCCTTTAAGAGGTTAACTTAGCAAAACAAGTCACATTTATCTGTTCTTATTAAACAAAAACTGCGCTAAAAGATTAAGTCTATTATATTTTGAACATAATGCCACCACATTTCTTTTGCATGAATTTATTGTTTTAATAAATTTTAAGCCTTTAGTTCACGTTGGTCCCTAAATCATCCTCCAAATTTTACCTGGCATGTGCTGTTATTATTATTATTAATATCATTTTGACTTCGACACTTTCCCTTACATTTGGGGGTGAGGAATGGTTGTAGGTATCGATATATTAAAGATGGTAGTGAAGTAAATTGGTAATATTTTTTTTATCAAATAAGGATAGAAGACTTTGCCTAGGGAGATACTCAACAGGAAAATGGGAATGCTATTTAGGGACAGACGGTACTATAAATTTCATATCACCAATTCCATCGTAGTTGAGATTAAGGTGATGACGATGATGCAAAAACTGTGATGTATGTTTCTGACTTTCTTTTGAATCGGCCAAACCAAAATCAGGTTCCAGTTGTACAGCTTCTTTTGGGGCAAACCGGTCTAGTTTCTGGAGATCAAATGTTATCTGTTTGGCGGTACGTCATTGTGGGGGCCGTGGTTGCAGCTGCAGTACTCACACCATCTACAGACCCGCTCACCCAAGTGTTGCTAGCGGGTCCCCTTTTGGGGCTCTACTTAGGCGGAGCATGGGCGGTAAAGCTTTCTGGGAAATAGATGGACTCATGGACATAAGGAGCAGAAGAAAACATGTTCCTAACAGCCAAAAGAGTCCCAGGCTCAGATGTGTGTTGCATAGAAAAACTGGGATTGATGACCCATAGAAAATATATCGAAACACGTATAGGTTATCATTAACTCAGTTATCATCATTATGTTATTAACCCACGCCATGGGGCTTTATCTGCCCAGAGGTGGTGGAGAAGTATGTAAATTGTAAGATAATGTGGCTTAGGAAGGGCGTATCTACACTTTTTGCAACAAAGGCGTCTTCTACTTGCCCTTGGTAGGGTTTGAACCTCCATCCTGAATCTCAAATCAATGAGACTTTACCCCCATGTCTTCCACTTGAGGAATGTTCCAAGGGCATAAGCATCGGTGACATTAAAACTGTTATAGTGTTATTATAACTTCCTAGAAGTCTAGAACCATTGAAAAAAACCTTAGAGTCAATATAATTATAAAATGTGATATTATAAAGTAATATAAAATGGATATACTCCGTAATTATGTGTATAATGTGTCATATTAAACACATTACGATATAACTTCCACTTTATAGTGGCCCTGGAGAGAATTTCAATACTCATTTCAACATTTTCAATATTTCACACAGAACAAACACATTAAAATATAATTTCCACTAGGATGCCCTCGCTTTATATAGTGGGCTAGGCCCGACAGGTGTTTTAAGGAACTTTCACATTTTATGAGAGTACTTATTTACAAAAACGTCTCTGACTCTCTGCCTTACTTTACATACTCCGTATTAAAAATGTGTGATTGAGGATAGGGATGGGCCCGAGTTGGTCCGGTCCCGGTTCCAAGCCCAGACCACCTGGTCCAAAAAATTGCTCGGCCCGAGACCAACCCGCTATTTTCCGGGTATGAGCCGGTTCCGGGTACCTGGGTGGTCCGGTTTCGGACCCTGACCCGTTATATTTTTTGGGATTTTTTACCCGGTTTCAAGCTTAAAAAAATTGGTCGGCCCGGGAGCAAAACCGCCCGGTTCGGCCGTTCGGTCCACAAAAATGAACTATGAACCGCTCTTGATCGGATAGGGTTGGTCCCAAGCCCGAAACAAAAAATTATGGATTTGATCCGCTCCCAAACAATGCCCGACTTGATTCCAAATCGGGTCAGACCTGTGGCAAATGTATCCCACTTTATCACTACAAATACTTGTGACTTGTGAGTAATCTCAATCGTTTATTTGATGTGAGCTTCACGTCATAAGAAAACCTGTAATTACTTTAGGTGTTTCTGTACGACGGAAGGATCCAAATTCATTTGTTTTCGCAATACAACATTATTTGTTGATGTTACTCTTTTAAAAGTAACATGATGCTTCGTGTTGATGGTAAGTTTGGTTGAAGCTCGAATTTTCTATGGGTGTATTTTAGTATGTACCATAGGTGGCAGCAAAAGAACGTGCAAACATGTCGTCCATTTTATTAGAAGGGTTAAATTGGCTCTAATGACGAGCATTAGGGTGAAAATGGGACGCTGGTAACCAATCCGGGCAGAAGGTAATGCAATAGAATTTCCAAATGCCCTAACGGGGAGTTCTCAACAATGAACAACCTAAACCATCCATTACCATTTACAGTCTTAGTATAAACGGTTCTTTTGATGTTAAGAGGATTAAGAAAAAAAAAGACATGTTAGATGTGGATTATTCTGCGAGTTCAGCAATGATTGTATTGTGGTTCTTTATGTTTTCAAAAAGATATTTGTACCTACTCTTATACCCACCATGTTAGTGTAAGACTTTTTCTGACTGTGTATTCCGTTCACAAAAAAATATGTGTTATTTTGTCTGTGCAAATTAAGACAAAATAAGACATATTTCGTCTGTGTACCAGATTCAGAGAAAAAAAAACATCTACATACATGGTGGGTATAAAGTGGATATAAGGGTGAGTATAAGGGTGGGTACAAGAAGAATGGTTGTTATGTATTACTAGATAGGTTCCACTACTCTTCGCCCGACACATTGCCCCCCCCCCCCCCCCCCCCCCCCCGAATAAATATTTGACGATTTTCCAGATCCATGTGATTTAACGTCTAGTTAAAATCGGATTTTTGTAAACATTTTAGAATGTTATCAAGGCGCAAGGTAATAAAAAAAGGTGTAATGATGGAGATAAGTACTCATTGAAGTTGTGGTTACCTCTTCATAAATTTGACCTAAATGTTAGCTTCCATGACAATGAAAGTGTGATAGACGGTCAATATAGTAATATCTAGAAAAATGCTATGTTGTACTATCTTTCTTACCATCTTAGCGACAAAGCCCATTATGCGACCTTCAATATATATATATCCTCTCATATAACGTAAGGATATTAATGGCAGTGATAATGTTTTGAAATAATTAAGGACTGTCTTTTATTTGAGTTGGGGATCATTCACTTTATTATAATGGGCCTAATGGCTGGACAATTGTTTCAACGTAATTATGAAATTTCAACTCTAATCATTTACGAATCTAGGCTGTGCAACAGTGATGTAATCAAAATCTTGTTGTGGGCATGTGAGATGACTTAGGCGTTTGTAATAAAGCAATTCTAGGAGCTCTAGTTGCTATATTTTGGACACGGTCTTCCTTAAATGAAATGCTTGATGCTGAAAAAATCACTTTTGGAAAATTGGATCTTTTTCTGTCCTCAATTCAAAACCATGACTCACATTTGTTTTTCACCAAGATTTGTTACTCTCCCCATCCTATATTGTAAGACACACTACCTTTTGGGTGCCTAAAAAATATGAGAACTCCTTAATCACCACTCATATTTTATAAGAAATTATATTAAATGGGACTAAAACATGGTTAAAACTCCAAAATAGGACTTCAAGTTTTAAATTTCCTAAATGGGACTCCACATTACCTTTTTGCCCCTAATCCCTAAATCACCTTTTCCCCAAATAGCTCTCTGCACTTGTCGCTGCATTCTCGCAGGTCTTCTATTTTCTTCGCCATCGACTGGAATTTAGCAGCTGTGCACATCTTTTCCTCCTGTGGACTGCATCTCCGCCATCCGCTATGGCGTCGCACCGTAGCTCCGCCATCGACCATAGGTATCCTCCTCCCCCTCCTTTCTTCTTCTTCCACCTCTTCTTCTTCTTCTTCTTCTTCTTCTTCTTCTTTTCTTCTAATCCTCTTCAAATTTTTGGTCCTCTGTTCTCTTCTTTAATTTTTTTGGATTTGAATTTTATTTATTAATTTGGACTTTTTGAATTTGAATTTATTTATTCAGTAAAATGTCACTTTTATAATCCGAGAATGTCAAAATATTGGTTATTTGGAAAAAATGTCACGTTTGTGACAATTTATTTACTTGGATGACAATCTGAAAATGTCACTTTTGTTTTGAAAATGTCATGAAAGTGACATTATTACAAATCAGTGTTCAATTAAAGATCAACTATGTCATTTTTCAGATTGAAGTGATTAGAACAATAATATGAATCTTTTAAAAATAAATTACTCATGATTATAAAAACTTGGAAATCCAAAAGAAGAAGAAAATAGAAGACTTGTAGAAGAAGAAAACAAGGGAGCTTGAGAAGAAATTAAGATATGAGTACAAGAAAAAGATCGGAAGAAACTTACCTGGGGAGCCGTTCATCCGTGCATCGCAACTCGCAAACGACCTTCATCGCACCCAGTGAATTGTTGCAGCAGGAACTAAGAAAGGGCAATTTTGTCCGATCGGTAATTAAAAGTCCTATTTAGGTAATAAAAAACTTAATGTCTCACTTTGGAGTTTTAACCAAGTTTTAGTCCCATTTGGGAAATTCTCTCATATTTTATTTATCACTTTGTTTTCATCAATCATTTCATCCTTCATCTCTTTTTGGATGCATACTACATTTTCTTACTTTTACATGTAAAAATTGTAAAACAAACACTTTATCCTTGTTTATAAATGCACATCAAATCAAAATGTATCTTACAATGGGATGAGAGGAGTATGTGTTTTGGAAAAGTTGACATTCATTTTAAGCATCCCTTATAATAGAATAAGTGTTTGTTATTGTGACATTTAAATCTAGATTTCAACTAGGCAACATAAAAATAATTTCATTTATATCCACTCTTTTGTACATTCAATCTTATGTTTTATAATGAATGAAGTTCTTTTGGAGTCTTGAATTTATGATAGGAAGTTTGATTTAATTATATTGCATTAGAGTTTTCCTCAGCTGATGTTGGTGCAAATTGTATTGAGTCTTTTGCTATTATTTAAAAAACTTTAAGATTTGATTTATATTATTTTGTTAATTTGGTTGGACATGAATTGGGAGTGTTATTATATTTCATTGGAGCATATTTGACGTTTTTATTGAGAAAACTTGAAACTTAGTTTTGAAAGTGGAAACCGGTTGTCACTTTTTCATTTTTTCCTGAGAAAGACTATTTTCCGGCCGAAAGTCCTTAATGTGGACAAATTCATCAATCACACATCCCTATCTGCAGGTTAGTAAAGTTACAAGACTAATATCAAATGCACCCAAATGTTACAGGATTACAATAATATATTTCCCCGTTTTTACCTATCCCAAAATTTTCAATTTACTTTTCTTGGTAATACATTATCATTTTATTCTTTAATTGTAAGTATCAATTTGTAATCACTCTAGATATATGATCATTTGTGTTTCAATAGAAAATTTAGTATAACTTGTAGATATATAATTTTTGCAAAACAAATTGAGATAATCAACTTTATGTTGAATTGACGTCATATACTGTTTTTGCAAAACAAATTGGGATAAAGAGAGTACATTATTGTTAGTTCTTGTAGTTGTGCAAAATTAAAGAATAATAAAAGTGTCATGTAAGATTTTTTTACTATGAAGATTTTGATAGTGTTCATATTGTATGCATATAAAGTTTTTATTGTGATTTTTTCAGAATATCTTTATGGGAAAAAATACAAATATTCCTCTATAGTATGAGTGTGAAAACAAATATACTCTTCTATTTTTCAGAACAAATATACCCCTGAATTATATGTTGAAGTGCATATATACCCCTGAACTTTTAAAAAGTGCAAAAATACCATTCATGTTTTTATAAAGGAGTAAATTTACCTTTATTGACTTTAAATAGATAACATAAATTTCAAAAAACACCAAAAATATATTATAAATTCGAAATTTAAAAATAAAAATTTATTATTATGTTAAAATATTAACTCTTTAATTTTAAAATTCAAAATTAAGATTTTTCCGTTGTAAATGAAGCACTTCAAATTCATATATATTAATTTTAGACTTGTTGTTAAATTTTGAACACATTGTTACATTTTTTGAAATCACATTCTTTGATTATGTTTACCTTTAATAAAATCAAATTCACTATTTTGTAATCTTGGACTATTTATCATCATACAAAAAATGTAATTTTAAAGTGCAAAGAATGCAAAAAATTAATTTTTTTTTACATTGTAACACATATGTTAACACTTTTTCGAAAGAATCTAAAACATATAGTAAAGTTTTGTAATAATATTTTGGACACAAGTACATTTTTAACAAATATTTTGTAATAATATTTTGGACACAATGTTAAAATATTCATTGTTACACATTTGTTAACACATATTTAAAGTGTGATATGAAAATAATAAACGGAGAATTGGACACAAGTACATTTTTATTTATTTTTATTTTTTAATTCATAATTTATAATTTATTTATTTTTTCTGAAATTTATTTCATCAATTTAAAGTTAATAAAGGTAAATTTGATTTTTTATAAGAACATGAGGGGTGGTTTTACATCTTTTAAAAGTTCAGAGGTACATATGAACTTTCACATATATTTCAGGGGTATATATTTGTTCCGAAAAATAGAACATGTGTATATTTTTTCTCACACCCATAATACAGGGGTATATTTGTATCTTTTCCATATTTTTATCCACATTATAAATTGGGTGTATTAATGCATGTAATTAATGTATAGGGTTTGAAACACGATTCACAATATGATTTGATGCACAGTCCAATCACACTATATAAATGTTACAAATTAATTAAATGATTAATGTAAAAGTATGAGTTGTTTCTTATACTGTATGAGCATTTGCATAATTTAATTGCTTTTGTTAAACAATGGTTTTAGGGTGGAGACAAATGGACCTTTGGGACTCCTTGTTAGAGGTGACATCTAGGGTGGAGTCTTTCTTTGATTTCTTCTCAGAGATTTTTACTAGTTTTTCTAATGAAAAATAAAAAATGGTTGGGATGACGATGTGGAGTATCTGGAGACGAAAGAATTGCTAGTTTTGGGAGGGCCGTCGGGATACGCCGCTGGAGGTGATAAGCAGGGGAGGTGAGGTTTTACAAGGCTGGGAAAGTGCTCGCATAGAAAATATGAACAAAACGACTAGGGTTGTTAATGTCACTAAATGGAGTCCGCCGAGTGGGAGGAAGCTGAAATGTAATGTGGACGTTGCCATTTTTATGAAAGGAGCGTAGGTATATGCTGTTGCGTAAGCGACTATCGGGGACACTTTCGAATAGCTAAAACAAGTGGTGTAATGTTGTTTTATCTTTGTCTGAAGCTGAAGCATGGGGACTAAGACAAGCTATGAGTTGGATGACAAATTTTAGCTATGAGGAGGTTATCTTGGAATTGGATTTGAAACAAGTTGTGGAAGATGCACATTCTAACAAGGTGACAACATGGAGCTCTCATTAGGGACTATAGAGCCATTATTGATAGTCATAGCGACTTTGAGGTTGTATTTACTAGGCGCAAAGCTAATGGTAGTGCTCATGCGTTAGCACGCTCATCCATCGTCTTTACTTCTAGCATTGTTTTTCAGCATAGTCTTTATTGTATTATCAATATTATTAATAATGATTTGAATCAAGTTTTTACCGTAAAAGAAGGAGTAATATTAACATTTATTATTCAAAATTAATAAGAAAGTAACAAATTAGCATTACATAACTCAAATTTAATGGGTATATGAGTTTTTTCCAAAATATTATAAAAATAAAACTTGTTTACACAAATCTGAGTAATAATTACTAGGGAAAATCACACTTTTAGTCCCTGAAATAGTCACTATATTGAAATGTCAGACCCATATTTCGAATATTGTAAATGTCACCCCTCAGTTGTCCAAGTTGATGTACATGTGGTCCTTTGAGGGGTGAAATATACCTCGTGGGCGAGGAGTGAAATGCACCCCTCAAAGGATCACATTTACAATAATCTGGACAATTGAAGGGTGACATTTACAAACTCGGGAACACGGGTCTGACATTTCAATATAATGACTATTTGAGAGACTAAAAGTGTGATTTTTCCTAATTACTACTACAATGTAACGTTATGGTAACTTAAGTTTGAAAATTGTACATCAATTAGTATGATAAATATATAATTTTTTAAACCATAAATATATCATTTTTTATTGAAAACATATGCAAAAAAAGCAAGATAATGCAACGGTTTGCTTGGGAGCATAAACACCTTGAAATGATCTACAGGCAAACTTCCGAACAAACCCTTGCGATTCTAGAACTATCCATGCCTCGCTCTTAAACCCCCTATCTTCCGCTCCATGTGTTTCGCACCTCTAAATACTTTCATCATCTTCTGGTTAAACCCTACCCTCCAAAACACACACACCAATGGCCCCTGCGATAAGCCGGAGTGTAGCTTCCTTTGCTGCTCTTCCATGTACTCCGTCTTTTGCTCAGAAGACTTCCAGTTCCAACAGGCTAGCCTTAAAAGGCGCTTTCTTGCCCAGAAATGGAATCAAGAACAGGCTATCTAGCTCAGCGTTAAATTGGAAGCTTGGGAGGAGAGATGGTCTGGTTGTGGTTAAGTGTGCGGCATCTGCCGTGGCTGAAAAGGAAGCTCCTGAGAGCTCTGGAGAGACACATGAGTACCAGGCTGAGGTGAATTGTTGCCTGGTCTTATGTTTCTTCTCTGCATTAAAGGATAAAATTAAAAAAATAAACTAATGTTGCAATTCTGGATCATATTTTTTTATTGCCTATCATTTGGCTGTGACATTGCGTTTCAGCATTGAAAGATTGAAACTTTATTGATTGCAGGTCAGTCGCTTGATGGACTTGATAGTTCACAGTCTATATAGTCACAAGGAAGTCTTTCTTCGTGAACTTGTTAGGTAGGGTAAATTGCTTTATAATCTTTCGGGCTATTATGTGGTATTTAGTCATATACTATGATATCAATTGGTATTTATTTCATGCTGAAGAGACTTGTAATTCAATGGCTTGTGGACTGATTTTATTTTAATAATGATCAAATCATCCATGTCCTAGGAAGATCCAAGTTTCATCTGTACATTATTTCAATTTTGACAAGCTATCACTTCTTAAATTATGAATCATACACATAATGTTATACTATTTTGATGGAATTTGGCTTTTATGAAAAAAACCATTTTGGGGGATGGAGGGAGTCTACATTTGAAGGCTTCAGTTGCATTACCATTTTCAAAATGTACAAAAAGAAAGATGTTCTGTTCATGATGCTTGTTGATAATGAATCATACTTATTTTAAAATTTTACAATTTTACTTCATAGGAAAACCAAATTTGACATATTTTCCTTGTTTGGAACACTTTTTTAATCAAATGTGTTTAATTAGGTGAAAATTAGCTTACTTTTTTAAACCAAATTTGGCTTATATGACTTTTTGTGTGGAATTGTGCTAAAATTTGTGTTTTGGGGACTGGGGAATAGTAAATATGAATCTTTTATTTGTATGACCGTATTGAAATTGTAAAAGAAATATGGTTGGTTCATGATATAAACCGTATACGTGACTTGAGTTTTTCTTTGTCTGTAGTAATGCAAGTGATGCACTGGACAAGTTAAGGTTTTTGAGCGTGACTGATCCTTCTCTACTTGGAGATGCTGGTGAGCTTGAGATTAGGATCAAACCTGACCCAGACAATGGGACCATCACCATAACGTATGCAAACTTTCAAATTGCAAATTGATTGCTTAGTTCAGTGTGTGAACATTTCACTTCATTTTGTTCTACAGTGATACTGGGATAGGAATGACTAAGGAAGAGCTCATAGATTGTCTTGGAACCATTGCACAGAGTGGTACTAAAAAGTTTTTGAATGCTCTCAAGGTAACTTCGGCGTTACAATGAGTTTAATGTTCTTTGAATATTCAATTTTATCTTTTATTATAATGTGCTGTTCGTACAATATATTTGTAGTAGTCTCTCTAATGAATTGCATCCTATATCTACAGGAGAATAAAGACCTTGGAGCAGACAATGGGTTGATTGGTCAATTTGGTGTTGGATTTTATTCTGCCTTCTTGGTTGCTGAAAAGGTGGATATGTCATTTTGATTTTTTGAATGGTAATTCCTTACTCTACAAATAACAGTGTCACTGAATTGCTATCCTTTTTTGTGTTAGGTTGTTGTTTCCACGAAGAGTCCTAGATCCGACAAGCAATATGTTTGGGAATCTATTGCTGATAGCAGCTCATACAAGATTAGGGAAGAAACTGACCCTGAAAAGCTCCTTCGTAGGGGGACACAAATTACTCTCTATTTGAGGGTACTTTTCTTCTTCATGACTGCTAAAACTGATGCTTTATTCTTTTACTTTAACATGGGCAGCGATGAGTAATATTTCATATTATGGGGTTTGAATAACTATATTTAAACTTTGAAGAGTTTAAGACACTCCCTCTGTACCAAATATGTGTTTTGAAATTACAGTTACACTAAAAATTCTATTGGAGCACAAAATTAAACCTGAGCTTGATAAATCTGCATCCCAAAATGAGAGAAAGTATTGTTATTTAAATGTTAGACACTTTTTCACCCATTAGAGGAGTCTCAAGTTCTCAATTGATATTCCTCTATGTACTTTATATGAGTTTGCTTTAATTTTGTTTTATTAATTATTAGTAAGAAAAAAGGTAACGAGTTTAGAGAATATCATAGAATATGATGCAATCTTATTTCTGTCATTTGAGCAGGAGGATGACAAGTATGAGTTCTCAGAGCCTAAGAAAATTCAAGATTTGGTGAAGACTTACTCACAATTTGTTTCATTCCCCATCTACACTTGGCAAGAGAAGTCGAGAACTGTAGATGTAAGTATTGCTCTTTGAGATAAAAAACAATTTCCTCTTAATATTTTGTGAATTTGACCACAAGATTGAGTTTTGTAATAGGTGGAAGAAGAAGAGGAACCAAAGGAAGGAGAAGAAAAGACTGAGGTAATGAGTCTCTCTAGTGCTTTGAGAAATGATAATTTACTCTTATCTTTTTAAAGTACACACTGTTCATTATTGTCAACTATTGACTTAATTACAGGGGGAGAAGAAAAAGACAAAGAAGACCAAAACTGAAAAGTATTGGGACTGGGAATTAGGAAATGATACTAAACCTATATGGGTGAGTTTCAATAACAATTGTACATCATATTGGATTGTTAAGTAATGCGCTTCCTTTGTTCATTTTATATGTATATTAATTTTTCTAATTGTTAATGTGCTTACATGTTTCTGAAATTGCAGATGCGAAACCCTAAGGAAGTTGAGAAACAACAGTACCATGAATTCTACAAGAATACATTTAATGAATTCTTGGATCCAGTTGCTTATACTCATTTCAGCACAGAGGTTAGTCAAACTCTTCTCAAAGACAATGTTTTGATGTTGAATGCTCTAAATCTACCAGAGGTTCAGCATGTTTTACTCTACTTAACCAATTTTTGCAGGGAGAGGTGGAATTTAGAAGTGTCCTTTATATCCCTGGCATGGCACCTCTGAATAATGAAGATGTCGTGAATCCAAAGACGAAGAACATAAGGATGTATGTCAAGCGTGTGTTCATTTCTGATGATTTTGATGGAGAATTGGTGAGTAAAATAAGCATGAAGTAGGCTGTTCTTGTTTCATAATTCCATATTTCATTTGGAATTATGATTTGGACATAATATGTAAAGAAATCATACAATTTTTTAATATTTTCGTAGATCATTGATGTTGAAGAGCATGCACTAGGTTCTCTTTGGAACTCTGAAAATACTAGAGAAATAAGATATGGAGGAAAATCACAAGGAACATTGAATATGTTTGCTTAGATATATATGTTCAAACTATTTGTTGGTTTCTTTTAATATATGCAATTTGTTTTAAAGAAATCAATCTTTTTCGTTTTGCTTTCCATTTTCAACTATAAAACTGAACTTTAGAAAATAATATCCTTCCATTAGAATTTCCAACATCCAAACCTACCTCCATTGTACTGGTTTATTTATTTCTGCTTCTATCAGTTTACTCTAATCTTAAATGTTAATCTTTTTTTCTGATGGTTTAATTTGATTTTGAATTGCAGTTCCCGAGGTACCTGAGCTTTGTAAAAGGTGTGGTGGACTCTGATGACCTTCCTCTTAATGTTTCAAGAGAAATCCTTCAGGAAAGCCGAATTGTAAGGAATTATCTCATCTCATGCTGCAATTTAAATTGGCCCTTCTGTTTTTATATTTATTCCTATTTGTTTTCCGTCATATGCAGGTTAGGATAATGAAAAAGAGACTAGTGAGGAAAACATTTGACATGATTCAGGATCTTTCTGAAAGTGAGAACAAAGAGGTTAGTACTCTGCATTTTAACGATATCTTTTGTATTGTGTTTATATCCCTTCGATCTGCTTTCTAAGTGAAGATGTATTTCCTTTCAGGACTACAAAAAATTCTGGGAGAACTTTGGTAAATTTTTGAAATTAGGATGTGTTGAAGACAGTGGGAATCACAAGCGCATAACACCATTGCTTCGGTTTTTCTCCTCCAAGAATGAGGAGGAGCTAATAAGTCTGGATGATTATGTTGAGAACATGGCAGAGAATCAGAAAGCCATATACTATTTGGCTTCAGACAGCTTGAAAAGTGCGAAAAATGCTCCTTTCTTGGAGAAACTTGTCCAAAAGAACATTGAGGTAAGCATACTTCTTTATCATTATCTCTCTACTATATCATCCTCTTATGATGGAATAAGATTTACCATGGATTTTATAACTGCTGTGTCTTTTTTACATTTAGGCTCCCCCTCACCCCAGAGAGAATAACATTTTGGCTGAATGCAGGTTTTGTACCTGGTTGATCCAATTGATGAAGTTGCTATACAGAATCTACAAACATACAAGGAGAAAAAGTTTGTTGATATAAGCAAGGAGGATTTGGAGCTAGGTTAGTATCTCTTCGTTACCATTACTAGGGTAGTATGGTCATTGTTGTAAAAGTCTCTTCCTTGTCCCAATTTATCCCCGCCTAGGTGTTATGCTCTCCTTAGACTCGTGTGTTTTTCTGGCTTAGGACCCACCAGTTCTATTCGGTCCCGCCAAACTCTGATCAGCCTTGATGTAGATATCTTTTTGAAAGAATCCACAAATATTACTGCTGGTTCGAATTCAATAAATAAATTTTAAACCTGCTCATATTTTCAAACCGAATCCTTTTAGTTATCGATTTTGTATCAATATAAATAGTAATAAACCATTTATTGTTGTTGTTGTTGTTATTGTTGTTATTATTCTTATTAATTATTATTATTATTTTCAATTTTCATTTACCTTTGTATCATCCTTGGTAAATATAAATCTACATACTCTGTACGAGAGAAAAACATATCTCAACTCCCTCCCTCCCCTTCACAATTTTGGGATCCAAAGTATCCTAAAAGAAGGCAAGTCTTGGAGCAAATGCTTTATCTGACAGAATGACTTTTCAGGTGACGAGGATGAGGTAAAAGACAGGGAAGTGAAGCAAGAGTTCAACCTCCTCTGTGACTGGATAAAACAACAACTGGGGGATAAAGTAGCAAAGGTTCAGGTTTCAAAGCGTTTAAGTTCATCTCCATGTGTTCTCGTCTCTGGCAAGTTTGGATGGTCTGCAAACATGGAAAGGTCTGCTGATTATTGCTTCACCAAATAATAATTTTCTTTATTTTCTTCAGTTTATTGGCAAAGTATTTTGGGATTATTATTAATTCTCCTTTTAATAACAGGTTGATGAAGGCTCAAACCCTTGGAGACACCACCAGTTTAGAGTTTATGAGGGGTAGAAGAATATTGGAGATCAATACTGATCATCCCATTGTCAAAGATCTAAGTGTGAGTTGCTCTGCTTTAATTTTCTACCCGTAAAAATCTGGTAACAAAGTCTTTGGAAAACACGTGCACCCCAAAAAAGATTCATGTTTAAAATAGTGTGAGGTGCTAGGTTCTCTAAATCTTATTTTAGGATGCTCTTTTATCAAACATGAGTTAATTTTTCATGTAGCTTCCTGCAAGTAGGCCCCCCAAATTAAACTTTGGTAAGTAGTCATAGCTGAACTTGGTCTTTCCTTGTTCATGTTATCATGTACTACCTCGGTTGCAAATAAAACTTCTACTTTGACTCCGCATGGTGGTTAATAAAGTGAAAGTTACATGGTCAAAATTTAGAGGGAAGTAATATCTTCAACAGAATGATTTCTTTAGAGTGAATATCTACAAATCTAATTATACTGTTCGCTTGTTGCTTTGCAGGCTGCGTGCAAAAATGCACCCGATAGTGATGAAGCAAAGAGAGCGGTTGATCTGTTATACGAGACAGCATTGATCTCCAGTGGCTTCACTGTATGTGATCTCTTTACATCTCTTAAGAATCATTAGTAGCCATTTAACTAATGTTTTTATTATGGAGTTTTTTTCCATCATTACTTACTGGTCTGTTGTATGTGGGTTTGGCGCAGCCTGACAGTCCATCTGAGTTGGGGAACAAGATATATGAGATGATGGCAATGGCTCTTGGAGGAAGGTGGGGCAGGTCGGATGAAGAAGACACTAAGGAGACACCTGTAGGTGAGGAATTGTCAGAGGGTAGCGAAAGTTCTTCTTCACCTGATGACTCGGAAGCACCACCTGTCGAGCCGTCAGAAGTAAGAGTTGAGAGTGATCCCTGGAGCGAGTGATTATTTAAGCGATGAAAGTGTTTTTCTGCAAAGGAATTTGTTTTCACGTTATTCTGGGTGGGTCATATTCTCTCGGTAGAAGAGTTGTATTTGAGATCTTTTTGGGTAAATGGTTGATTAATAAAATATCCTTTTTTCTGAATGATTCATGGCACGCGATATATCATATATCAAACATGCATGCACTCACGCACATCGGCACATGTAAATATTGTCGTGTTAGTCTTATTTCGAGAATAAAAATAAAAATATAGTAGTTTTATTTTGAAATTCCATACTTCATTTATTCCTATTTTGTTAAATCTCCGTAATATATATTATATACTTATTATAGTATATAATATTTAGATTTAGATAATTATAATCTCTAATCCTACATTCATACTCCTACAGTCCTACACTTCCATATTTAATATATTCATATTATAATTATACTTATATAGTTTTATATATTATTTAGATTTAGTAAACAACACATTATATACTTATAGTATATAGAAATTAGACATTGTTGTACACTTGTACTTAACTAGTTCCTTACATTTTTTAGTACCAATCATAAATTGCAGTGTGTGTGTGTGTGTGAGAGAGAGAGAGAGAGAGAGAGAGAGAGTCTTTCATGTCCAGTCGGCCCTGATGGGAACCGCCGTTCGGCAAAAGCCGTTTGGGGCCTTTTCTGGTGGAATTTTTTGATGAAATATTTTGAGCATATTCTTCTATCAAGTCTAGTTTATACATATCAAATTTTAGTTCAAAATTCATTCAGGAAGACACTTAAATATATTCTGGAAATCGATTGAGATTCATTCTCATTTCTCACGTTAGATGCATTTCTCACTTGAACCTATATATAAATACACACACATACACTATATAAGAAATACGAAATATATATACATACACGAAATATTAGTCACATTTTTAATATTACTCACATTTGAGTATTTGTTGCTTTTTAATTTTAGTTATACTGTAATATTTTTTGCTTTTTGATAGTTGTTACAATTTAGTATTAGCCACATTATCATATTAGTTACATTTTAATTTCCCACATTATCATATTACATACATTATCATTTTAATTTTAGTCACATTTGAATATTACTTGCATTATAATAATAGTCACATTTTAATATTAGTTGCGTTTATCATTAGTCACATTTTAATAGTTGTTACATTTTAATAGTGTTGTCAATCCCAGATAACGGAGCGTAGTGGCCGACCCCAAAAACGCTATAGTGGTATAGCGGATTGCGGGATGACCGCTATTTAGGCTACTTTCAAATATAATAGATAAGTAACTACTAGAAGCATATATAATACATTACATACACAAAAGTATGATATATGCCAATGAAGGTTGCAAGCATCTTAAGTCTTAACATTCATAAATCCTACGAGTTCCATGACCAAAACATAAGAGGCTATTAATGATTAAAACATCTTGAATAAAAAACAAGGTTCTGATTTAAGAGTTTAAGCCTTGATAAATTAACAGTAAAAATAAGTAAATGCGACTTGCAAGCCCTTTGAATTCATCATTCACTACTCCTCATCAAATTCTTCTTCTTCCAACTCTATCTCATCTTCATCGTCATTTTAACTGCTAGTGCATTCGCAAATTTCTTCCTCCACACAAGAATGTTCAGTTTTGTACTTCTCATCCTCCATCAGTTCACTTTCTAGTCCTTCCCACTCTTGACAAGTGACCACAGATAAGGAATAAAATTGACCCTTTCTAGACAATGCATCTGCAGCTTTGTTTTCTACTCCAGGTTTGTACTTGATGACAAAATTGAACCCCAACAACTTGGTTATCCATTTCTGTTGATCTTCCCCCAAAATTCTCTGCTATGTCAAAAATATTAGACTCTTCTGATCAGTATGAACTTCAAATCTTCTCTCTAATAGATAGGGCCTCCATTTTTGTATGACTAATACAATAGCCATGAGTTCCCTTTCATATACAGATTTATTTTGGTTTCTTTTGGACAAAGTTTTGCTCATATAAGCTATGGGTCTTCCCTCCTGCATAAGTTCAGACCCAAACCTTTTCCAGATGCATCTGACTCAATTACAAAGGTTTGGTTGAAATCTGGCACCTTTAACACAGGCAACTGAGTCATTCTCTGTTTCAGTTCATCAAAAGCCTCGTGTGCTTCAGAATTCCACTTGAATCCATCCTTCTTGAGAAGATCAGTTAAAGGGGATGCTATTCTACTATAGTTTTTGACAAATTTTCTATAGTAGCCTGTAAGATCCAAGAAGCCTCTTAGCCCTTTAGCATCAATGGGGTATTTCCAGTCCAGCATGTCTGCAATCTTACTATGGTCAGCTGCCACTCCTTTAGATATGATGTGTCCTAAATAAGGTCTGATGTTAGGGATTGTTGATCCTTCCATAATGTTAATAGCATGATCACAGTCCCTTTTTGGAGGTAATCCATTTGAGGACTTGAAAAGTGGAGGAAACTCTGCCTTGCATTCCCTGACCCAAACTTGTCTATCTTCATTATCTTCCACATCTGCTTTCATTTCAATTGGGTAAAGCTCTCACCAAACTTTTAAGAGATGTTTCACTTCTGCTGAGATTAGGGCCCCCTTTCAATTTCCTGGACTGCCAATCTTCCACCCATTTGATAGATAATTGATGGAAATTAAATTCCACATTTCCCAAACCAGACAATCATTCCATCCCCAACACTCTTTCAGTTCCCCCTAACTCCAAGGTGTAAAAATCTTGAGTAATCATAATCTTCTACACCTTAACAGATAAGGCATCACACCTCCCATCATTCTTAATTTGATCTCCATTCCCTATTTCCACCTTAAATTCTGGAATGTGAAGAATAAGAATGCCCACTTCTTGTACCACCCTGGAAGATATGAAGTTATGAGTAGCCCCACAATCAATTAATATAATTACATCCTTGCTTCCTCTATGGCCCTGTATTTCTCCTCTTAACTTGAAAGTCCTGGAGTAGTCATTCCTTCCTTACTCATTAGTGATAATTGCATACTGGAAAGATCATTCTCTTCCATCCTTGTAGTAGGTTCCAGTTGATTTTCCTCTGACACCTCCTCCTCATCAGAATCATCTAACACAATGATCTGATAGTGTTTCATCTTGCACATGTGGCCTTTACCCCATTGCTCCCCATATTTAAAGCAAAGGCCTTCCTACTTAACTCTGGGACAATCTATGTGTTCCCCTCACTGCAGCACCTTTATTAATTACATCCTGGTTCTTCTCCATGGCAGATTTCTCAGGATTAGTCTGATTACTCAGATTATTCTTCCACTTGTTCTCATTTAACCATCTGTGGGAGTTGGTTGCAACATTCACTCTATCCTTTATTCCTTTTCTATCTTCCTCTTTGTACGTGCTGAAATTCAGAGTCTGGTTTCTTTCTTCAACCATCAAAGCCTTATCCATTAACTCTGCAAGAGTTCTAACATGATTCAATTTCAATTCAGCTCGTATTTCAGGTTTCAACCCTTTTAGAAATATTCCTTTGAGAATCTTCACATCACTCTATTTCAGAGGAGCTACAATCAAATCAAATTGCTCCCTATGCTCCATCACACTCCCAGTCTGTGCTATACTCAGTAAAGGGCCATAAGGATCTTGTACCGGTCCAGGTTGAAACCTATGAATTAAGGCATCCTTAAATTGTTCCCAATTCTTCACATTCGAGTGTTCTTCCCACCATTGGAACCAGTTTAGAGCCTTACCTTCCATAGCTAGCGTGATTAATTCAACTTTATCCTCTTCAGTTATGCAGTTCATTTTAAAAAAACGTTCTACCTTAATGGTCCATCCATACGCATCGTGACCATTAAAAAGTGGTAAATCCACTTTTCTTCCAGATTTCTCAATCCATCTATCATAATCATCATCACGTCTAGAGGATAAGGATCGATGATTACCTTCGGATGACATGAAGTTGCGACTATCATTTCTCGCACTTTTCCGGATGTTTTTGTTCTTCCGTGTGAGTGATGATCATTCTGCTTCAGAATTAACTCCCGTAACTCATCGCTACTCCGCCTAGCCTCTTCGCGATTCCTCTCCATCTCGCGCTCTAGGCTCTCGCGACTCTGCATCATCTCACGCGCCAGGTTCACGCGACTTTGCATCAGCTCACGCTCCAGGTTCGCGTGAGTTTGTATCAACTCACGTTCCACGCTTTCCAACCTCGCTTCCATCTTCTGTCTGGTAGCAACCATAAACATGTACCACGATCGATGCTCTGATACCAATGATAGGTAATTCAACTATAAACAAGGTAACTCAAGCAGTAGATTGGAACATAATGTATGAACAGTCTTAGGGTGGTCGTTATTAACAGAAATGAGAGAGAAAGTATACGGCAGTTTAAAGAGAGCCACTCTCCAAGTCCCAGCCCAACCAAAATAATACCAGCCTACCTACCTCTTTATTACAATAGCTATCTATTTATAGTATTTTCCCAGCCTTCTATATCGTACATAGCTATTTAATATTCCTCTTCCTTCTTCTAGAATACACTTGTTTATAATAGTCAACACTATTATTAGTAATGGGTTGACTTCGTGTGTCTCTATCACACTCCGTTGAGATTCACCTGCCCGGTGTAAACAAGAGAGAACGGGGATGGCTCAGGACCTCTATTTGCCCATCCTGAGCAAGATGGGTATTGTTCTAACTCTACACGAATTTAGAAATCAGGATTTGTTATCTCTAGTTTAGGTTTGTTTGTCTTGGATTTCCTTCTCATTCAATTCGGACAATTATGATTCAAATGAGGGTAAATTTTACAAATAGGAGCAAATCGTACTAATTTTCTAAAACTAAGACCGAAGATTAGCGTAAGACTCAACTACACCTGCATTGACCACAATACCCTTACTTTTAGAAAATAACAGACATTAAATAGACAATAAATAGACAATAAGTAGATAATAAATAAACGATACATTCTGATAACAATAATTTGATTGCAGAGCAGGAAACGGATAGTTCGATGTTTTCGGTGAAAATGATTGCAGATCTATTAAGATGAGATTTTGATTTCAAAAACAAACAAAAATAGAGGAAGACCCCTCATAGATTGCAAATCTCTGGTTCAAGATGGATCTTCTCCTCATCTTTTATTTTAAATGCTCTGAAGTTCTCATCAACGCTTTTCTTCTTTCCTATGGTCAAACAGAGTATACGATGCTGCGGTAGTGACAGTCCGGTGATGTGGTGGCGGCGGAGGAAGGCGCTGGTTGTAGGTCTACTCGTCGCCGATGTGGCGGCGATGGTGGAAGACCCTGGTTGTACGGCTAGGCTACTCGCTTCCAATGCGATGGAGACATGGCAGCGGTCGTTGGGCATGGAAGCCCTTCTTCTTCTCCTTTTTTCAATTGCAGAAAAATAATTAAGGGTAAAAATGGAAAGTTAAAAACAAGCTTCCTAATATAGAACCAAATAAAGCTCACGGCTGGAAATAAAACAAGGAGATCCCAATTTTGGAAAGGAGCTATGATTTGGTCCTACTAGCTGCAATTTTCTCTTCAAATGATGAAGGTAAAAAGATACTAGTATCTCACAATAGTGTACTTAGTAGAACATAGGTGATCACTACCATGTCTCTTTTGTCAAGTACAGTCCCCTTTATCTAAGGAGTATTATATTTTATAGTTGACCCTTAAAACACATGAGATATTGCTATTAATTCGTATGGTTCACAATGAGGATTTGAAGGAAAATATTAGCAAACATGCAAGAGGGTGCGTGAGCAAGTTTCTCCTTTTGTCTTGTGCAGTCTTCTTTCATTCTTTCGCTCCCTATAATAATCATAGCCTCATTTCTTTACTTTGAAGGAGTCTAGCTCGTATGAGACCCAATAACTCACAATAGTTGTGAGATGAAATATCTACCCAAATAATTAGACAACCGGGTCCACCCTTAGTGTGACCCAAGCAATTCTTAAAATTTTGTTTTCATTATGTTGGCCTCTTATATATGGGGTGGTCCCTCCCAATAGTACGAGTTCGGTATACAATTTAATTAATTATTAATTAATTAAATCCTCGATTGTCTTACACATGATTAATGATAGAAAATTCGAGTAGAAGCATTGATGATTAATGATATAAATTTCGAGTTCGCATTATTGTGGCGTTCTCTTTTTTCGATTAGCTTCAATTGCTAGGTGAAGAGGCCTCTCCTGAGATGCCCTCCTTTTTATAAACTTTTTATGATTCTTTTGGGCCGGTCCGCCGGTGTTAATATATACTTACATTTCATCTAAAACGCAAGAAAAGGTTAATATATACTCCGTGTACGATTTTTCCAGTCTATGAGGCTTGACGACACCAAAGTTGGGTCCTCACTCTTGCCGGGAAGAGGACAAGCTTGAGCTTACCCCAATATGAAAGCCAGTGTTGCTTCCACAGTTCCACCTGATGTGGTGGCTGCTGACAGTTTTCTGCTTGTGCTTACAGCAATATAACATGGTTTCACTCATTTTTTCTTTCATTCTTTTTGTTTGCAAGAGGTAATTTTGAATTTGCCAGATTAATCCTGACTCCTGGGTCACATAAGTACTACCTCCGTCCGTCCCACTAAGATTGGGACGAGAGAATGTGGCACGATTATTAAGAAAAGTGGGTTTGTGTGGTTGATATTAAATTGATAAAGTAAGAATAAAGTAAGAATGATTTAGAGCCACACAATCTTTACCAAATTTGGTATGAGACAATCTTAGTGGGACTTCCCGAAAAGGTAAAATGGAACAATCTTAGCGGGACGGAGGGAGTATATCACAAGTCATTCGAGATTTCAAGCTAAGAATCTAAGACACTCAATTTCGTTTGTACATATCAACTCATAAGGAGCCACCCTCGATTGATTAAGCGTATCTTGCTTCATTGATTGCTTAACATCTTAAAGAACATGCTATCTTAAAAATGAAAATACTCAAGGATGAAATTAGAATGACACAACTTACTCCTATTTAAGAGAGAAAACATAATATTTTAATTCAAGGAAAACCCGAAAAACACCTTAATTTATGGTGATTTCTTACAATTAAATAGTAAAAATTATCTATCACGGTTTATACTATTTCTTATTGAAGATATTAGTGAATAGTACATTACGGAACAAAAGAAAGGATTGCATTCCTCCTCTCAATGTATGAGGGCACTAATGTTCTTACCATCTTTTAGGAGGAAGAGAAAAACCACAACAGCACTTCACTGAATGTGTTATTAATGACCGGAAAAAATCTGTCAAAACAGTGCTGAAACATGCATACAATATATGTATATACTGAGTAAATAACATAATAAAAGTGAACATATCAGCACTTATGATCACAAAAGCTTCTAAGCTTCATCAGAAGTGGAAACAGGGGTATCAGGATTTGCTCCCCACTCTGTCCAAGAACCATCATACACTACAACATCACGCTTCCCAAGCCGATGGAGTCCCTGTAAAAAAATTAAATGATCATCAGCCACATGTCAATAATAACCCCATGCGATGGAAATATATATTATGACAGAGAGAGAGAGAGAGAGTTAGACCAAGGCGAGAATGCAAGCAGTTACACCCGTGCCGCATGAAGTTACTATAGGACTGTCCAAAGAGATGCCTGTCATTATACATGAAGCTTTAAAAAATGAAATAGAAGCAAAGGGACAAACAAGAGTCCTAAGAGAACAATTGATAGATGAACAACATAGATATTATAGTTTTAGCAATTAGCAGTATTATAATTTCCTATCTGTTGAAGTAGTGATGCAGTTATCATAGTTTTAGTAATATTATAGATTTATAGTTTCTTAATCCTAAGAGGTTTCCTGTTCCTAGATTTCCTACCAGGTTTAGTTCTATTACTTCTATAGAGACATTGTACTAGCTTCTAAAAATAATGAAGGTGCAAGTTCAATAAAAGTAATGGCTTATTACTCAACACAGACTTCACTGAAGTAGAAAGCAAAAAGAGCAAATGTCATTTGATTAGCGAAGTGCTTATATACCCATATATAACAAGGCAGTAAAGGCCCACCACATAATTTTAAGACAAGAAATATAAACATGCAGACATTAAACAAAAACCACCCACAATATAGCTCAAGATTGATAATCAATTAAACATTGCACCCATTCTTACCTTCTTGGTCATATTTTTTCTTGAGCTCCTCTGCAGGTAAGAGTGTTTGCGAGTCATCTAACATCTACAAAAAGCAAACACAAAAAGTACATGTGCTTGAAGGCTCCCAAAGTAGTAAAGTACAATGGTGAGAGTTAAACAGTCACGACCCACACAGAAAAATGGATCTCCAATTTTTTAAGTCAGTTGATAGGATCTGATCATCTGACAGATTTATGTTTACATTGCCATAAAGTTAAAGGTCAGCATTAAATTATGGGATTTTGTTTGTTTCTGTTTATTTTGGTTTTTGTGTTTAGTTGAGAATGGCTATTAACATAATACAGGCACAAAAGCTTCAAAAAGAACATCACCCTCCCAAGTAAAAGTTCTTTTTACCTGTGCAAAGGGAATGCATTTGCTACCTGGAACATGTCCACTACGTATTCCTTTCCGAGGCTCTGGTGCAACCCCATCAAATCTGCAAAGGACTTGCCTTTTAATAATTCTTCAAACATTCCTTCAATAACTGATTTCAAATCCCATAAAACAGTTCTGAAATCTGAATGCAAAATTTATTTTGTTTACATATATATGCATAACATCCTTTTTTTAAAGAGGCATAACAGCCTTTTTTTTAAAGAGGCATAAAAGGATGTGTAGTCTGGCACAAGCATGCTGCCCAACTTTAAATTAAAAACCAGCCGCCATTAAAAATGAAAACGCACCCCTATTCTATCAGGTGAAGGTGAAAGTGCATGTTGCTACTTGCTAGCATTTCTATCTAGTCAATCACTAACAAGGATCATAAATTTAATAATATTTCATGAATGATTATTCCCAATTCTGACGAAAAAAGTGAAACCTCTTTTAAAAAAACCATTGACAAATACAAGAGGCAGTAAACTAAAGGTTTATGTTATGAGCTGAAAATACCTAGCTTTAGAACGTGCATCTATATGCTGGTGTGTCTTTTCATCAATGTTGTTCCTGACCTGAAAGTACAAATGAAGTTGCTCTTGAACTTTGAGAAAGTAAATAGCATTGCAGATTTGCAGTTGCACAATCAAATATTCAACCAGATGGAAAACATGAAGGGGCATGTGATAAAATCATATATATATATATAGACTTAGGATCATATACAAACTTATCCTAATTTACAAAATGCAAATTAATCAGGGCCATCCATATTAATGAGGTTACGGTGTGGATTTGAGAGAGAGATGGCAAAATTCCCCACTAATTGCATGAGTTACGGTTGATTTGAGAGAAAGTAGGAAACT